CTTGCATTTATGTGTCAAATCATTCTGAACCCACACATTTGTGTGCAATACTAGAAACAGGGAGAACTCACAGTCCTTCCACATAAAGACCCACCTCAAGTTATCCCAAAACTTCTTTCCAGCAGTATTATTTCAGGGAGGGAAAGAAAAAAATTGTGTTGTTGACACTGAAGAAAAAGAGAATTTTAGCTGATCTACTTCAAACTTCCCAGAAACTTCTACTTCTGATACAGAACATAGAGATAGCATCTCACTCAGTGTCATATATATGAGATGGGCAGCTACATAAATTTACCAAATAAATAAAAATAAAATAAATGTACAGAATACTTTTATTAACAGCCTTTAGACTCAGAAACATGAAAAGAATTATAGAGAGGAAATTAAGGCTCAAAAATGAAACCATCACTGATAGACTCAATGAGCATGTAAGAATACTAAGCATCTCACATACAAGTAGTCCTTGACTTACAACCATTTGTTTAATAACTGTTCAAAGCTACGACAGCACTGAAAAAAGTGACTTACAACCAGTCGTTGCACTTATGACCAACGCAGTATCCCCGTGGGTCACTGGTCAGAATTCAGGCACTTTGCAACCAGCATGTATTTACGACGGTTGCAGTGTCCCAGGGTCACATGATCACCATTTGCGACCTTCCCAGGGGACTCCCAACAAGCCAAGTCAAAGGGGGATGCCAGATTCACTTAACCACCATGTGATTCGTTTTACAACTGTGGCAAAAGGTCGTAAAATCAGGCATTACTCACTTAATGACTGTGTCGCTTAGTGATGGAAGTTCTGGTCCCAACTGTGGTCGTAAGTTGAGGACTACCTGTATGTATATTTTAAGATGCAAAGAATTCACCAAGCTGCTTTCTACAATGGACATCTGGGTGCTTCTGGAAAGTTTACCGTTCATCAGCTAACAGCATCTGACGTTCAAAGGAAAGCTGCCTCTGAACACAGAGGTTCTATTAACCATAAGCCATTAACAGTACTTCCTTCCGACTTCTACAAAGCTAAGGACAGCAATTCCTAGAATTCACATGGTTAGAACATTCAAACCAAGAACTCTGGCCACTCAGGCTGGGTATTATTCAACAGAACTGCAACTCCCATCCATCTGATGAATGTTGGACTGGAGAAGGTATCCTCCTCTGTTAATTCATCCGAACAGATTTTAAAACCCCATATGCCAGCAGCCAGCCATAATGATACCGGGAGGCAGTTCTATTAGTTAATTCTGCCCTACTTATGATTCCTGCCAAATTATTTTAGATATTCTGCCACTACATTTCAAATATGCTTATATTATTGTATTTTTTCTGTGTGAGAAATATCTTTAATGTGTATACTCCCTGGGTATGCACTGTCTGATTGACAATATACAAGTATTCTAAATGAGTAAATGAAACTAATTGGTGGATCCCAAAGCCCTAACAATGTTCTCCATTCTACCTATAATTTTTAAGTCTCTATCTCTACTATGCCTCCTCCTTTTGTCCCTAAATTAAAGAAATACTTCCCAAACTGTACCCCCTGAAAATATTTATACAGCTGATCTTCCCCGCAGGAAGGTGATAGTGCCTCCAAATCACACCACTCTCAATTAGTATTTTCTAAAAGTATAAGTCAAGCTTTTCAGCACATATATTGTATAATTAAACAAACTGGGGGAAAAGGATATTCCACAATGCAAAATTGCAAACTTGATTTGTAGCTTCAGCTCAGTCCCATCTTAATCCCTTCCACCAGCATAAAGTTCAAGAAGCCACAGGCTAAAGCAGTTATCTCATGCATAAATTCAATTCCTAAATATCCCCCCACAACAAATGGAAACAAGGTTCTGGTCCTCACTGGTTGGAAAGGAAAAAGCAACATCTTGACCAGCAGAATCACTGAATAAGTGATTTCTGTTGTTTTATGGGGAAATGGGACTTGTAATGTTTTACCTCGTTTATCTTTGTAAAACTAGCAGCAACTAGCAGAAGTTGTCTTAAAACTGCAAATATAATGAAAGAATTATGCAACACAAACTATACATTTAATATGGATTACAGGAAACATGTTGAAGATTTTGTCTGCTTACCCTGCTGATTTAAGACTCTTGATTTAGAGTACTCTCAACCCTAGCTCTTCCACAACCCTTTATAACACCAGACTGCTATGTTTGATCCCAGAGAGAATTCCCAACAGGCCAAGTGTGAGATTGACAGGGATTACCGACTAACGATAGGAAGAAAAGATGTTTCACAGCTCCTTACCTGTTTGAATTGTTCTTCATAAGTCCAATCTCCATGGTCCAGGACTTGGGGCTGCAGCTGTGACAGGCTTTGCTGGGGAACCCCAGAAGGGCCCCGTTCTTGTCCCCCTACCAGTCTGGAAGGTTCTCCTCGGTATTGCTGGGGGGTCTGCTGTTTGTGGAGAAATGGGGTGCTAGGGCTTGATGTAGCCACTGCACTGGAGCTAAGCCCTCCCTCCACCATTTCTTCTTCTTCCTCATATTCTTCTTCCTCCTCACCCAGGTCTTCTTCAAAATCTTCAACCCACTTGCCCTTCCTGAAGGAGGGAGAGAATTATAAGGAAGAAGATGTGAATACCTAAAGCAGGGTAAGTCAAAATGGTGACTTTGGGCTCCAATATGCCTCCAGATATCTCCCTGATGCCCATCAGGCTTTAATAAAAGGCACATTTAGTTTAAAATAATTAAATAGAAAGCTGGCACCTTGCAAAGCACCAGAGCCTTGCATCATAGTTATTTGCAGCAATGCCTTTGGGCCCCAGTAAGTCTCTTAAAAATGACAGGCAGCATTCCAATAATTATTTTGGGACTGACTATGCCCACCATGGCAGCCATTCTGGGAGTAGGCAGATTTCCCATAACACAGTTTAATGTGACTGCAACCACCACAGGCTTGCAATATTCCAGATATGCTCTCAGACCCCAAAAGGGGGAGCGAGGTAAGAGGGGCTTAAGGGGAAAAATAGGTACTCTAGGCCCTGCTGAAACTTTAGACACCACTTCATTCCTTAAGAACACTGAAAAACCACAAAAACTGGGACTCTGGCTCTACTGGCTTTAGGGGTACAGCCCTTGGCATGCTTCACAAAGCCTGGTTTGAGGTTCCCCCCTCCTGCATTACAGAGGCCATCTTGAGGTAAGCCAGCCAGTTATGGGAACCAAACTCCAAGAGACCTGAAGGTTACCAGGTTGGGAGTGTAAAAGTATCTGACTGCTGAGTAAACAAAGGAATATTTAGACATACTTCACTCCCCTCAACAGATTCTAGAAAAATGGCTTCTCTTCCCCCCCTCCGCCCCCTTTGTGGTTTTTTGTTTTAAATTGCTTGGAAAATTTCAAACGAGGATCAGGAACTTAATCAAAAGCCCCAGGCATTAAAAACTAGCCAGACTGGTTTTGCCTTAAGAGCTCTGGTTTTATTGTCTCCTGACCCCAACAACACCAGGGAGGGGCACAGAAGCCTGCAGGAGAAACACACCGAATTACCAAATCAAGAGCAAGAGCAGTCAAACAAGAGACAATCTTTTTTTCCAAGCATTCTGCAATGTTCTGTGTGATTTTCAAGTCACAAAACAACTCATTTTGTTCATGTTGTTATCTACTTCTCCCACCCCATTTGGGGGGGGAGGGGGTGAATGGCACCTTTTAACTTAAAAGAAATCATTAAATAAAAAGAGAGACTCAAGTTTATTTAGTTTGCAATAGAATCCCTCATGCCTGGGCTGCATCTTTTCCTATGGAAGTATAAAATGGCTACCCAAGGCAAAACAAAGAGAATGAAATATTAGACACCATCCAGGGGAAAGGAAGCCCTTGGCTTTCTGAGAGAGCTCAGAAATTTTGTGAACCACATGTTTTAGCACAAATACTATGGGGTAGCATATACAGCTCTGCCCCTACCTTCCATTCCAATGTCAACGTATATAAAGCCTTAGGTTTAGGGCAGGGAGGCACACCTTTATTCAGGCTAAAGTCCACTCCTTCACATCTGACAAATAGCACTTAGGGGCCAGGGCAAAAATTACATTTCATTTTATTTCACTGGACATTTCACTAACATTAAAAATACTTCATACAATTACTGTCCAGTCATGCATTCAATAATGTCCTGCTTTGGTCACATTAAAAATTACAATTTGGTTGAGAAAAAAGAAACCTGAAAGGTCTCTGGGGTGGTGGCTTCTGTGGCGGGGGGGGAGGGGGTTGTCAAAAAAGCAAGATGGCCGTTGCTTGTTATATACTGTAAATTGAAACTCTGCCCTTTTAATGTGTCATGCAAGTGATGCCTGTAACAAAGGGGCAGAGTTTTGATCGCACAGATGCCATCTTGACTTTTTGACAAACACACATCCCCATGGATGCCCCTTCATTTGTGGCCTCTGCACTATGTAGGGTCACCTACATTCAAAGATGAGCCTTCACAACTTAAACATCTGAACCCCTTATGAGGATGCTGACACATACAGCCTCTTCCCACCCACACAGTGAGCAAGAAGTGCTGGATGAGCCTCAGAGAAGACTTACATGTCCTCTTCTTCTGAGCCCATTTCTCGGGGGTATTCACCGTCGTCTTCTTCCTCCTCCTCCTCTTCCTCTTCCCCTATAAGCTCTTCCTCTTCCTCGGAAGAATGGCTCTCCTCCGACCCAACTGGGCTGGACGACTGTCTGAGGCCAGCCGCAGCTGCCCGCATGGCTGCCAGGGCCGCTATCTGTGCCCTCTGGATCCGGGCACTGTCAGGCTCCCCCCCCTCCTCAGAAAGAGGAGGGTCCTGGCTGCGGCCACGGGCCAACGCTGTGACGCCAGGGGCTGGCAACATGGTGGTCTGATTCGGTGCAGGGAGAGGCAGAGGATTGGCCTGCGACTGGTCCTGTTGCTGCCGCGCCTCCATCTCCTGCTGCAGCCGGGCACGCTGTTGGCGCTGCAGGTTCTCCATGACCGCCTGCAGCTTCATGGCTCTGCCTGCAGGGGGCAGTGTCCTGGCAGAGGAAGTCCGAGGAGCGGAGCAACACTCTAAAGGGGAGGAGCCTACGTTTTGCACAGGAGGCGGAGGGGCTGTAGAGTAGCGATCAGTCGGGGTCAGCGCCGTGAGGAATGCTGGGAGATGCCCTCTGCCCCAGGTGTTCTGGGGAGGGCAACCACCTTAAAAAGGGGCTACAAGACTGCACTTGTAACTTGTGGGTCAGGGAGAAGCCTGTGGCACCATCAACCACTTCGAAAAGGTGGCTCTTTCCACAGCAGTAGGAGGACAGCAAGTCAATTGTTCTTGGCCAAAAGGAAAGAAATTTGTACAGATTTTTTTAAAAGGCTACTCAAACACCATGATGCTTTAAAGACTAGCCGTGATCCTGAAGTTCAAGGTCCCACGTTCTATGCAACAACCACGTTGGTCTGCGCCACCCTGAACTGAAGCTTAACCCTGCTTTTCTGTCACGTTTCTTTCCATCCAAGGAGGGCGTAGGGACAATCTGCAAACTGTGAGTTGTCCACCTCTTCTTCTTCATCTAGGCGTCAGTGAAAAACCTATCCAAAAAAGCAAACACAAAGACACACATAGAGAAAACATTAGGACAATTAAAGCTAGAAACTTGACTTCTTAACAAAGGCTAATTTGTCCAAATGTCAGGAACTATACAAAATCTAGCCAGGCACAAGCTATGTTTTTTGAGAGTAGCTCCTCCAATGCCTGTCTATAGGAAGAAGGTGGATAAAGAGATGGTAGATATGCGAGACAGAGCAAGAAGAATTCATTAGGACCAGAAGCCTTAATCTGAATCCTGTGGAGGGTGGAAAAAAGAAAGACTACCTGAAGCAAACTTTGTCAATAAGATACTACAAACTTCACATACTTACAGACACATGTATGTACATACAATGCACAGATAAACAAAAGCAGAAGCAATTATAAAAAAAGGGAACAACTTTTTTTTTTAAAACAAACAGGAAGGTGGGAGAGACCTTTTCAGCTTTTGCCAGGAAGTAAAGAGAAAAGCCTTTGGTAAGAAGGGAACAGTGGTGTCGTTTTTAAGACACTATCCACAGTTAATAATTGTGGCTTAGAAACAACCCACCATCTCTTAATTATGAATCTCAAGATAAAGACCATGTTCACACTGTCACAAACAGCACTTTAAATTTTATTTCTACTGATCTCTCATGAGACAACTGCCCAAATAAATTTATTTACTGTGTAAATTTGCATGGTTGCCCATCTTAATCAAATAATGCCTGGTGGCTAACATGAATAAAAAACTGAAATGTTGTTGATACAAAAACACTTGAAAATAAACAATAAAATATGTGCGGTTAAAAAAACAACAATCCACAGAAAGCAAAAACACAAACCACACTCCATGAGAATCCTGGCCCTAAAGCCTTGAGGGAACAGCCAGGTTTTTAAGGCCTTCCAAAAGGTGGACAGGGTCAAGTTACTACACCTCAAGAATTCTCACTAGCCTACTTGCCATGCATAACCACATTACTATTCATAGCCTGATGGCCTAAAAGATGGAAAAAGAAGAGGCAGCAACAACTTTCTCTAATTTATGTTTGGGTCGCCTAGGCATGATTCCTTGCCCCTGGCAACCAAAGCTTATTACCTTATTTTCTTAACATCCACCAAGACTTCCTACAACACCTCTGAATACCACAGGGAAAATCATCTCTTTAGGAAAAAGAAATATTCTGGCAATATCCGCTACAATGTCATAGAACACAATGCTCTTTTTACAGAGGGGAAAAATGTGCAGAAATGAAGATTCTCATGGACAGAAACGGCAAACAAGACCATGCACGCCTTCCCAAAGAGCCCCCAAGCTCGTTCAAACTTGCTCAAATTAATGCACTCATAATACGTAGGGCATTTTCACTGAAAGTTGGAGGCACAGCAAGAAGACTATAGAGGATTCCTCCCAGTTATAGTTAGATACAGAAACTGCCAGACTCAAAGCAGCTTATGCCTTCTTCAATTTTTATCTCTGCAACAACAATCCTATGATGTAGGATAGACTGCAAAATAGTGACTATCCCAAAGGCATCAATTGAGAACCTATGTTTGAGCATGAACTTGAGCCAGTCCCATTTCTCCCAGTCCTAGTCCACTGCCATAAACTCTACACTGCACTGGCTGTATCAAAGAGTTTCTCTGAAACTTGAATTCTGGTGACTCCACAGGTATGGACATGGAGTTGTCTCAGCAACAAAACAGAAGTGGTTTGCCATTGCCTTCTTCCTGGATATTTTTCAACTCTCCAGTCTAATCTATAGTTCTGGAATCTACTGTTGGTCTCCCATCCAAATACTAACCAGATCTGACTTTGTGAGATCCATCAAAGTTTGCTTGAAAAGATATAACTGACTTTGAAAATAATCATCACTGCCACAGGAAGAGAAGGGCCATAGCTAAGTAGCAGAGCCTCCACTCTGCATGAAAAAGGGGCTGGATCCCACCCACAATCTCTCCAGTTTAGTACTGCAAAAGACTTCAAGGAGTTGCTGACTGTGAGGTTGAGCCTTCCTCAACCTGGCTCTTTCCAAGCATGCTGCAATGGCAATTCTCAGTTTGCTAGGCAGCCTGGCCTGGGAACTCTGAAAAGTTGCAGTCCTAATTTTCCAAAAAATACTAAACTGGAGAACACCAGCATAGACCACACTATGCTAGGGGGACCAACGGTGACGTTTGATAGAAGAGGACTACCAGTTTCAGTAGCTCGCAAAAAGATCAATTCACGGAGGAGTACGGGCTGTCAGTGGCCGCAACTGAGAAGATGCTTCTCAGGGATCATCAAATTGCCTGTTTGAATAGCTATTTTCCACTACAACCAACTCAACAGATCTGAAAACTCCCCCCACAATTTAAACTTAACGGACAGCCCTGCCAACCAACCCTGTTCTCTGCCTCCTGCCAAGGGCCCTCTCCCACCAAAGCATGTGGGCCGCACCCATCTTCCCAACTGCCATGGAACCCTCACCAAGGCAAGTGCCTTAATGACATCAGAGGAAGCAGGAACCAATCAGGAGGCCGACAGTGTACACGCTCTGTAATTTCTTTGGCTGCACCGCACAGAGGAAATGAACAAAAATTATGCATTCTGGTTTTCATATCCTCAAGGGAAAAGGTGCAAAATGTGCACTTCCACACATACGACAACGGAATGTGCCCCCAAAAGGAATACAGGTCAGAAACTCCCTGAGAATAACCTCATCTCAGTCAAAAAAGGAAATATATTTCAAATTTCAAAAAGCCCCAGAATATGGAAACGAACACTAATAATTTTACATTCACAATGCCAGTTACATGCAGCTTTTTATTCCTCCACCCCCCACGATAGAATTTTCATATTACGGAAATTTTCAAGAGCTGAATATTATTAACATGGGTAAACCACGTGGGACTCTTCTTGAAGAGTGTCTCATATTCACACACACACACACACATACAAATGAACAGGTAAATTGCAAAAAAAAGTGGGCAAATAATTAAATAATTAATATCAAATATTTCAATTCTTGTGAATATAATGGTGCCTGTTCCTCATTACCTAATCTAATTTAGGCTGTTTATTAATAGCCAAACTCACATATGACCAACATATAACTAGAGATTAGAAATGTGTGCCTCTTGATCCCGGCTTGGATTGGTTGAATTTTGGGTTGTAATAAAGAAAAAAAGGATCCAAACTCTCCATCTCTGTCTCAAAATACACAATAATTTCAAATGCATTAAAGCATGAGAAAAGTGTCTTCTCCTTTTGTTCCTCCTCAAGAACTAAGCAATTCATGCCTGGAAATTAAAGATTAATAATAATGTCTTCATCATGTTTTCTCCTATCTAAAGACCAAAACATTACCAAGTGAAGAAGTCCCCCCTTGCCCAAAGTATCTTACTCCCCCACCACCACCACTTCAAACTCTAGAGCCAATTCCAGTTGCAGACAAGGGTATTACAGTTGTCAAAAGTCTGAGAAAGAGAAAAAAAATAAAAGAAATGGCTGAGTTGGAACCTCAGAAGGCAGCCTCCTCTAAGCTCTGTTCTGGGCAAGAGACATTAACGCTTTATTAAACTGGAAGGCGGCAGAAAGTGAAACAAAGGGCAATTTACAGAAGCCCTTGTTAGCTAAGCAGAAAAAGCTGGTGGGATTTTTCTAGTTACATGCAAATATTAACATCCTAAGGATAGGCAGAAATAGCAAGTTACATGCGCAGAATGGACAGCAAAGAGAAATGCTTCTCTATCATGGCTTTGGTGTACCTTTGCAATTTATATCACAGCAAATTAACAGACATGGCGAATTCTATTATCTGTGCTGCAAATCAATCCCCCATTTGCAAAATGTGAAGCTGTGCAGATCCCAAATGTTTTTTGCATGCCCTCTGTTTTCCCCATGCACAGACATGAAATTTAAGGCTCTTAATTCCTTGGGCAGAATTCTCTGTCAAATGAAGTTAACAGCATAACGTTAATCAGATTTTCAGATTTCTCCCTCCCATCTGGGAAGCATATTCTAAATTCAGCCTAGGAGCAGGAACTGTTTGAGCTACACGTGGTGATGTGCTTTCACACATGGACCACATTCATGGGCTGAAACAGATGTGTGAATTGAGCAGTGGATTTAATTTTGTTAAGAAGAACAAGCCATAGCAGATGCTCAGAGGTAAGAATTAAAATTTACTTCCTGAGTTGTAATGAAGCAAAGATGATGTGATATAGTTAGGAAGTCCTCAGCCAGTTATAATTAGGGAGTCATAAATCAACTAAACATTATTTTTAGGAGACTGATAAATGAGACGAGGAGGTAAGTTGACATTGATCATTTAGGAAATTTTTGGGTTTAAAAACACTGCCCAGCTTTTTTCACTGCCTCTAGCTATTCAGCTAGTATTCATCCATGAAATCCCGTATACAGTACAACCTACATTCTCTGTACCCTGCATGTGTATCTATGAGGCTATGTATGTGTGTGCATGCATTTGCACCATGCCAAATTTTGCAATGGTGATGACCTTGACTACTTGTTATTAGTCATTCTCTCATTAAATCGCGATCATTGACCAAGCCAATTTTTTCCAACTCAAAAAGTAATGTTGGGGGTAGGGAGGCATTGCAGACTAATTAACATCATCAAGCAGTTTCAATATTTTGTCACACTTTAGTGAGCAGTATAAAAAGAACAAAGAGGCAGTTGGATTCTCAACAGCTGGGGTCACCTTTTAACTCCTCCTAGACTTAACTTTTAGTAGGGGAGCAGAAACAGTATGTCCGGGCATAAGGTTGCCCTAGCAGGAGCAAAACCATTGTCCATCCAAGAAGCTAGGCCTCAATGATTGCAAGGCCATGAAACACCAGAAATTACCTCTCAATCTGATAAATAGAGAGAAGTGTGAAAGAATCAGAACTGCAAAGGAAAATCCAAGTCCTCCTCAATCGTGTTTTTCAGCTTTTTTTTTTTTAAAGAGATCAAACTAGTAATTCCTGCGAAGTCAAAATGAAGAGATAGCTCAAAAGTGAGGAGAAACATAGCCACAGGATGCAGACAGTAATTATAACAAAGTTGAAGGGTGCCTTCCTTTAAATGCAATATTTCCCAAACCACAGGTTAAATAATCGAAAGGCAAACCTAATAGGTAAGCAAAAGATACTGCTGCACCCCTGCATGATACACTGGTCCAGCTGGTGCCTCAAAAGTCAATGCAATCAGATCTCTCAACTCACCCTTGCTGCAGACACACTAGAGTGCATGCTTTCACATTTAGTCCACGCACCACTTTGACCTTGAGTCCTTCCAAACAGATATTACAGAAAGGGGCTTGAAGGTGAATTGGCCCAATCTCTGAACAGAGACTCATGGTACAATACGCCCTTTTTGTTAAATGTTCCATTTTAACCATTATACAAGGGGTGCAAGCATAGAAGGTGCCTCCAACTTGAACACAGAAAAACCCTGTCTCTTTGTTGCTGTTAAGTGCCTAAAATGCTGGCTTAATCTACACTCATAATCGCACTTACTAGGGTAGTTAGGCCCAGCAGACAAGTGAGAGAAGCTTCTGAATAAGCAGGCTGTTAATGGCATGCTATCTTTAAAAAGACTATTTCTAGGATAAGGTGGAGAGATCTGGAATGTTAAAAAGAAGGGTACAAGATAAGGGCAGTCCCACAGACCGAAATTAATTAATTTTTTATATATAATCAGGCTTTACAACGAGATCCACCAATGCAGACTTTTTTTTAAAAAAGTGCTCGTTCGAGACTCAGTAATGCGTGTGCAAATCAACCTACGTTGCCTAGAACAATCCAACATAAAAACAGTGGAGGAAAGGTCGCTAAGCGATCCATACAAATGTTAATGGGGGGGGAAGCGAGCCAAATAGATTAGTTTTAAAGCTGTACAGTTACCTTAGAACAAGCCTAAAAAAAAAAAAAAAAACACCTCCGCTTAAAATTAAATTGCAAAATTAACTCAGCCAGCTTGCTCAGGAAACGGAGAGCGAGGGACTCCTTTGCACCCAGAAGGGGGAAAAAACATGAAGGCCCGAAGGAGAGCCGCCCCCGCCCGTCGCCCCCTCCCCCCATTCGCTTTCAAATATAACCATGTTTTTTTTTTTTAAGTAAAGTTAGAATCCAAGGCCAGTAGGAGAAGAAGGAAAAAAAAAGCAGCGACGTGGAGGCGATGCCAGCTCTGGATCCACCGTAAAGCACATTAACTTTATTTAGCCATTTATTTATATCGTCCTATCCTCCCCCCCCAAAAAAACCCTCCATTCCCTTCTTTGGGAGGGAGGGGAAAGATGAAGCTCTCTTCTAAAGCGCCAACAATTTTGTCTCCCATTCGCTCGAATTTCAAAACACTGGACGCGCAAACACACACCCATGGACCCCGCTTGGAGAACCCCGGGCCGTTTGTGCCTTTTAAAAACGCGTTAGAGAAGACCGGATTACAACCGGGGTTGCTATTTTACCTTGCAGAGAGGGAGGCAAGAGGACCCTCATTTTTCCTTCTCGCTCCTTCCTTTATTCCCCGGAACCCAGCCACTGACCCAGCTGGGCCACTCAGCTTTCCATGCGCGACGTTCCCCTTGATCTTCCAGGCAGATCTTTCCTCCTTTTTTTTTCTTCTTTTTCTTCCTCGGTTGCGTCCTCCCTCCCCCTTTCTTTTTCTTCCTTCCTTTTTTTAATTGCGTCGCTTTTAATGCCGCCTCCCTTATCTGGCTTGGATTAGTAAGTTTCCCTTTACAAGCGATTGCATGGCCTTCTCCTCCTCCTCCTCCCTCGATGCCTAAGGCGTGCACAGAGCTGGATAGACAAATCATAGGATGACAAAATAGCAATCAGATGCAAATTCCTAACCTCTGAATCAGGACCCAGCCATAGGAGAGGGTTGGGTCCTGCCCTGCTTAAGGGAGCGTCGTTCAATTCCTCCTGGCAGAGGAAAAACGTGCAGGAAGCCAGACGCCTGCCAGAGACGCGCCGCCTACATCTGCACGTTTCAATCCCTTTAAAGTCCCATGGTACCCTAGGCTCTAACCCTAACCCTCTAAATCCAGGCTAACAAAACCCCATTTGCAGTATAGTCACATAACAAAGCAAATCAGCCATATTAAAGCCTCACCGGATGGCCGGGTTCCCCCAATCTTTAAGACAATGTCTGGGTTCCCCACAACACGCTGAACCATAAGTGACTCAACCCCATTTTAGCTTCGTCTAAAGTACTGCACAAACCCAGGCTACAGAGGGAACATACTTATTACCACCCTAATGCTGTTGGGGCTGCTAAGAATTCCTGGAACCCGACGTGGAGGGGCTCAGGTTTAGGAGAAGAGCTTTTAAATCACAATTCAGCACCAGGAATCCATGAAAAACCCAGCGTGGCAGAAAGGAGAGGGCCGCCAGACCTGCCCAGCGAAACCCCAGACAGTTGCAGACCCGAAGCAGCAGCTCTGATGTTTTCTGACAAGCCGCCCGCTAGGCTCAAAGGTTGTTTGGATAGCTGGGATAAGGATGACCGATCACCCCAGCTCTTTGGAGGGAATCTGCTAGCTCACTTCTCAGATTTTGCTCTGGATTCAGTAAAAGAAAAGGTGGACAGTCATCTAGCTCTTCCTAATCAATCTCCTACATGCCCGTTGTCACCCTCAAAATTGGATGAAGCTGCTACAGTAATAATGAAATCGGGAGGAAGGGGTCACCAAACACTCAGAAGCTGTTTATAAATGATCCAGAAGAGAGGGAACCTTCAACCTCAAGAGCTACATTACAAAGATGGGACCAGGCTAATGTATCCCAGATAGAGTATACCAAACCAGAAAGGTTGCTAAGACAGCAAGAATCCTCCTCTTGCATCTCCTATATCAGTGTTTCTCAACCTTGGCCACTTTAAGATGTGTGGACTTCAACTCCCAGAATTCCCCAG